GAGCTTAGTGGAGTGCGTTGGCAACATAAATTTTGCGAAATACGTCGAAATATTGGAGGAAGGACTCTTGCCACTTTATTCCTCGGGTTTTGTAGACAAGAACACAACGTTGTTCCAGGAAGATGGAGCACCATGTCACACTGCTAGAAACACCCAAAAGTGGTATCCAGAAGTTGCCCTGGCCGAGCCAATCTCCTGACATGAACCCCAACGAAAACCTCTGGGCCATACTTGACCGGCAAGTCAAGAAACAACCAAAAAAAACCAACTTCAAAGAGCGATCTACTCCAAGTTTTGAAGCACGAGTGGGTGAAAATCCCACAATCAAAAAGTGACGAGATGATTCTCACGATGTCCCAAAGGATCAACGAACTCCACGAAGTGAAAGGAAGATCTACTAGATATTAATTAAATTATAAATATATCAATTCATGTGAATATGACTGAAAATTTTCATTTTTTCTTAAAAGGTGATGTCTATTTACTTGTGACCACAGTGTGTATGTTGGCTGCCAGGTATTCTTGTGGTAATTTCAATTTTATTATTTCCTATGCTTCAATTCGAACCCCTGAGATTTCTTGCATACTAAGTGAGCACTCTACCAACTGAGCTAAAGAGTCAACCTACTAATAAGACATTTGTAACAACTCAAACTAAAAATTCTGACAAATAATACTATTATGTATTAAAGTTTTGATTTTGTTTTGCTTCAATCACGTCTAACATTAACTTGTAGTGTTGGTGAATTTTATAGAATTATTAAATCTTAACATGAAATTTGAGACTACCACAGGCAGCAGTTGATGCTTTAGGTAGTTTTTATTTTAATTACTGTACTCTACATTATTAAAAGATGTATAACAGAAATAAACAAATTGGATATACTACCACTAGTTGTAACTTACAACCTGAAAACTTTATCACATTTGTTACCTCAAATAATTTATTTTAAAACTTTTATCTTAATAGTATATACATGTTAAAGTCCAAGTAAATATAATTTGATCACAACTATCAAATTTGTCATATTTGTAAAAGCAGAAAGTAATAAGTTGGTGAATTATAATTCTTGTGACAAAATTCTGAAAACTGAATCAGCTACAAAAAGGATATCTGAAGCAGTTCTTATTCAACTACAGAAATGTTATAAAATGTAATGTATGAAATCACTTGTATGATTAACGTTACTCTTCTAATTTAATATGAAATATTGCAACAAGAATGAAGAAAATTCAATGTTAGGTTAATTTTTGTGGCTCTGGATGTCTTCATCAATCAAAGTAAAATGAATGCATATATAAAAGGAAGATGTCATTTCACTTCTGTTACACTTTGATCTTTTTCAATTCTCTTAGGGCTAACTTCGCTGCTATGCTCTTGGCTATACATTTGTTTCTTCCTACACCAACAAAACTTCCTATTCCAGCCACATCCACTTGAACCCTTATTCTTTGATTTGAAGTCTTCTCAGGAGGTCTACATAGAAGAAAAAAATTTAAGTTAAATTACTTCAATTCATAAAAAAAAAATATGAATATACATGGATATAAACTGTTTAAGATTAATAATGCACACAATTCAGCAAAATGTAGAGAATTTTAAGAGTAAAAGAGTATGCAAGCTTCAACAAAGTATTATCAATGAAAAAGTGCCTTAATATATATATATATATATATATATATATATATA